AGCTCATCATGCTGGCTTTCCTGATGAACTTGGCTGTTTTCATCCTCTGAGGAGCTGGGACCTTGTTGGCACTGAGAATGGCTTTGGTTCACTTTGCGGGAGCTCTGGTCCTCACTTTGAGCATTGCTTCCTGGCTCCAGAGAGGAAGATGGTGCACTGCCAGTCTCCTGGAGAAGCTTGCTGTATTGGCTTTCCTGATTGGAACTCAGCTGTCTTCATCATTGGAGGAGCTCGGGACCTCATTGTTGTTGGGGAAGGCTGTGGTACTTCTGGGCGGAGCTTTGGCTCTTATTTTGGACTTCAGTTCCTGGCTCCAGTGCAGATCCCTCAGCCTGCTAGCACAGATCCTTCATCCTGCTGGCACAGACTTTCTCGCTTTCACCACTGATCTTTGGGCCTTCCCAGTTCAGATCTGTGAAACAGGCCTGCATGAGATGTTGTCATGGGCTCTAGGTCTTCAGCTGAACTCATGTAGGACATTAACCTGGGATCCAGGCCCTTAGCTGGATTCTTTGCTCCTTAGTGTATGGACAGATTTCCTGCACTCTCTTGTATATGATTCTTTGAGTAACTATTATAAATAATCTTAAAATATGTGTCCTGTCTTATATTGTTTCTTCTTGCAAAAACCTCAAACCAACACAACCAGTAAGGGAAGAGAGTCAGAACCAGAAGAAGGGCCGATGCAGGTGACCATGTATGCAGAGATACCTTAAAGACAGCAAGAGATCAGAGAAATGGATCCAACAGCTGCTAGGTGAAACAAAGACTACCTCCAGAAGAACTGGAATTAGAAATGAGGTAGCACAAATGGCATAAGAAATATGTGCACAGAAATCATAAGCAGAAAATTTTCCAAGAATAGGGAAAGAATTCAATGTTTGTATAAGCAATGCAGATAGCACCTCAAATAGGTGTGATCAGAAAAGACAAATCCTAAGTCCCAAACAAGGACAGAATTTTAAAAGCCACTGGAGAAGAATAACAAACCACATATGAAGGTAAACAGATGAGAATTACTGCAGATTTTTTAAAGTTTTTTTTCTTTTTTTAAAAGAAAATAGTACAAAAAAAAAGAACAATAGCAAAATACAAACAAAACAATGCAAGGACATTAAAAATGATACTGGGTTTCAAACTAAATGCTAGGGATTAACAGTGGTTATTATATTACATATTGTTATCTTCAAGGAAGTTGCTCAGATTACCAGATGTAAGAATAGAAGATTGATCAAATCATTAAAGGAAATAAGAAAATAATAACTTAAAAGAACATTAGAGACAATACATAGTTTCACTAGACAGGATTGTAGGAATTCACCCATGGTTGTTATGCTGCAAATTGTTGTTGTCACATAAGCTGCTCAGATTACCATATATAAGCATGCAAAATTGGTCAAAATATATATATAAAAACTTTTAATCATTAACTGTTCCCCTCAACAAACCATCAGACACCAACAGTACAATTATGCCACCAATCCATATATATATATAGCCTTAGTACTTTCTTTTTCTTCTCTCCCCAATCCCATTTGTTGCTTCTTTTGAGCAATTTCTTTCCCTTTTGTATTATCTATTGTACATTTTGGGTTTTATTTACTCTTTCATGTTCTTACACCATGAAGACAATGTGATGTTTACACATGTGGGTCTGATTTATTTCACGTATAAGTATGACCTCTAGTTACTTTGATATACATAATGATCACATTCATTGTAGGGAATCTATTGAATTTCTGAGATTTTGATTATGATATGCCTGGCTGTAGACTTCTTTTGGTCGTGGTCAATTGGGTTCTAGATGCCTCTCCTACCTGTATGTCAAATTTTTTTTCTCTACCAGGAAAGTTTTCTGCCATGACATCTGTGAACAGTTTTTTTTTTTTTTTTGGTTTTTCTCCGGTACCAGGGACCGAACTCACGACCTTGCGCTTGCCAGGCAGGCACTTTGCCGCTGAGCTAAATCCCCAGCCCCTGTGAACAGTTTTTTAATGTCATTTGTGCTGTCTCCTGCTTTTTCATTGACTCCAATAAATCTTCAGTTATTCTCCTTTGCCTCATCTAGCAGCTGTTGTATTGATTTCTTATGGTCTCTTGCTATTTTTAAGAAATCTTTCTTTTTATAGTCCCTAGCTGCAAGCCTGTCTTCTATATCTGTCCACCCACTGCCTTAATCTATTGCAAATACTTTCAATAGAATTTTTATTCCCCTGGATATCTGCTTGAACCTGCATTATGGATTCCGTTTCTTTCCTACGCTGAGCATTCATTGTTCCCATAATTTTTTTTTTAGCTCATCTATTTTCTTTTCTGTTCTGCTCTACAATCCCTAAGCATGGTTTTCATTGTGGACACCATCTCTGCAGTTATGTGAGAGATTATTTCTGATTTGATTTTTTCTAGAGCCTCATTCAACTGCTTTGTCATTACCACTTCAGAGAGGCCAGGTGGGTGGTTTTTGGATTGTCCCACCTCATTGCCTCCTGGGTTTGCCTTTGATGATGTTTGGGGTTGCATCTT